GGGTCCTGAGTGGCCTAACCCCTCGCCACGCTGGGGCGCGCTGCGGTCTGGCCCCTCACCGCGCTGGGGCCCTCCGGGGCCTGACCCCTCGCCACGCGGGGGCCTGCTGCGGTCTAGCCCCTCGCCGCGCTGGGGTCTGCCGTGGCCTAACCCCATCGCCACGCTGGGGGTCGGTGCGGTCTAACCCCTCACCGCGCTGGGGGCCCTTGTGGCTTAACCCCTCGCCACGCTGGGGGCTCCTGCGGTCTAACCCCTCACCGCGCTGGGGTGCTCCGTGGCCTAACCCCTCGCCGTGCAGGGGCCTGCTGCGGTCTAACCCCTCGCCGCGCTGGGGTCCTCCATGGCCTAACCCCTCGCCACGCTGGGGTCATCTGCGGCCTGGCTCCTCCTCGCTGGCTGCCAGGCAGAGCTCGGAGTATATGTGGCAAGGCGGCGATCCCTTGGTGCACTGCAGGAGCCACGCCATCTCGCCGCCGATGACGTAGCTATCGTCGAACTCATACTCTTCTTCGCCTTCTGGGCCCAAGCCATGCGCGCTGCCGTCCTCGTCGACGGAGATCTCGGCCAAGCACACGAATCCGTCGTGGAAGTGGCAGTCAGGGGCCGACCTCCCAGGAGCGGAAGACACGCGCCAGGCTTGATTCTCAATCGCGGCGAGGGCGACTAGGCCGCGGGCCAGCACGAGGATGATAACTGCCACACATGTGAGTCTGGACGCCCCTGCGTCCGCTACTTGCTGCTGCTCCTGCATCAGCTCGGGGTTCTGCTGCTTCTTCGCACGCCTCTGCGTGCGCCGGCTGGGGGTTGTTTGTGCGGCCCCCCACCGCGCCTGGTACTCCTGCACGTCGCTGGTGCTCTGCTTCGTCGCGTAGGTGCACAGGTGACTGCCCTTGTTCCCCACGGTGCTCTGCTGGTTGCCGACGGCCCCCTGCATGTTCTTGCCCGCGGAGCCGTCCTTGCCACCCTTGGTGCTCACGTCCTCCGCGTTGGCGCCCAGCGTCCCGCCCTGGTCGTCGAACTCGCTGCCGACGCCCTCCATCGCGGTGCCGTTGCGCTCCTCCGTCTTCACTATGTTCAGGTGCCTGCCCTGGTTCTGCTCGGTGCTCTTCTGGTTCCCGTACGCCCCCTTAGCGTCGCCGTTGCTCTGCCCGTGATCTGCGGTGTTCTGCTGGCCCTCCCCGACGCCGACCTCGAGCTCCTCCGTCTGCACGCCGCTGCCCGAGGCCAGGCGCGGGAAGGCGGGGACCTCCGCGAACGGGGCGCGCCCCTCAGCCCTGCGAACTGGGGTGAGGGTTCCCGCCGCCGCACCACGGCGCTCCTGCAGCTCCGCCAGGGCCTGCTCGAGCTGCGAGATCTTCTGGCTCTGCTCGTGCGACCTGTGGGAGAGCTGCGCTGCCTCGTCCTCCGTCATCTGGACCTTCAGCTCCAGCGCGCGCTGCTCCTCAGACGTGTCCGCCAGGAGCTTATGGTAGCGCTGGTCCGCCGCCTGTAGCTCGAGGACCTTCTCGGCTAGGAGCGCCGTCGTGTTTGCTTTCTCTTCAAGCTTGCCTTGGCCCGCCTCGTCCTGCTCCGACCCGATGGTGCCAGGGTGGGCGCCCAGGGCCTCCATTACCTCCTGTAACAAGTCCCTGTCGGGATGGGCTGCCCAACGCCTGCCGCCTCGCATCGCCACCCACCGCCGCGCCAGCTCTGGCTGAGCCTTGGCCAGGGCTCGGCGCACTTCCTCGGAAGTGGCCTTGCGCCCTAGGCCCAGCTTCACTCCAGCGCCCCTGAGGCCCTGCTCGGACCCGTCGAGGACGCTGGCATCGGGGCTGTCGGAGGCCAGCAGCTGGATCAGCCGCGCGGCCTCTTCCACTGTTCTGCAGTGCGCCACGCAGTGGCCCTGCCGCACCGCGACGCCACGAGCGCTGGAGCGACCCATGGCGGAGTCCCGAGGGCGCGGGCGCCTCGGAGTGCCGTGCAGAGTGAGAGAACTGGGGAAGCTGACCCCGCCCACTCGAGCCCAAATGGCTACGGGCGAGGAGGAGGAGGAGGAGGGGGAGAAGGATGCGGATGATGATGATGAGGATAAGGATGAGGATGAGGATGATGATGATGATGAAGAGGAGGAGGAGGAGGAGGAGGAGGAGGAGGAGGAGGCGGAGGAGGAGGAGGGCACGAAGCTCGGCGAGCAGGTGCGTTCACTTGGACTCTAGGCCTGTAGACGATGCAATGCTGCGGTGCGTGCGGTCGCGATCGCAGCGTCATGAACAGGCAGACCGCTGTCGACCCGCCACTTTACGAAATGAAATAGTTGCGTGGCCAACGCCACCGCATGCACACAGGTCTTGCGTGCGGGCGCGCGCGCGCACGGTGCTCGTGCGGGTGGCCGAGCCCTAGGAAGACAATTCCATCTTTCAGCTCACTCGGCTCCGCAGGGGCTGCGACCGCGCAGCGGAGCTCCTCACAATTCATGTAGTGCGCCAGGTCGTCCTTGGCGTCGCAAGCGAAGATGCACGGC